AGGACTACCACAGATGAAATTTAATGCAAAGTATAAAGTGCACAGGAAGGAAAACTAAAAGCTGTTGTGTGTTGTTGAGATAACAAAACATGAAGCTAAAAGATTCAATGCTCCTTTCATTCCAGTCCATCCACTGTGCAACAATTAAATGTTCGAGCTGTATGACACACTGGTCAGACCACACACGGTGGAGTGTCCAACTCTGTTCATCAACACACTAGAAGTCTAGTCAGCTGTCCAAGGTGAATTCAGAGAAGAACCACATGACCTGCCCCTAGCATAAGAATGAATTCCAAGAAAAACAACACAGGAACCTGGGCTTTACAGTCTTTTAATGGAGCTACGTGACAGGTGATAGAAATTGGAGATAGAAATTGTATGGGAAAGATAGAAAACTATTTCACTGAATTGTGAGAATCTGAAAACGGCACATAGATCCAAATCGACAAAAATGTACATTTGGAACTGATATCAGTAAGATCTTCTTCACAGAACGAGTAAAGACATGGAATGGACGCTCAGGAAGATTAATGAAAGTATAAACCCTGGTGTCACTTGGGAAATGGAATGAATGTTACAACTGGGAGAAGACAGTTCCTTCTGAGGACGGTCCACGGTCACCTTCAATCTTCTTTATCTTGTAATAGAAGATGGCAGTGACCAAGAATCAGCATCAAGTTTGAGAGATGGCATAAACACTATAATGAATATTATCCTGAAATTGCTGTAAATCTACAGGTAAAGACAACTTATTAGAAGCATTTTATCTATCACACTTCATTCATTCAAACTAACCTTAATCCACCAGGTGCTGCAGAGTCACATCATTGGGCACTTTATTACCTTGGGTTTCAAATGTTGCCTCAGAAATACAGTCCAAATTTAATCTAGTAACACAGCTAGGCCCAAATGTCATAACCAGTCTAAAAACTGACTGGATCCTTGGAACCAGTTTTTAAGCAAAGCAGACAGAGAGGGTGTTGAAAACTGGAAAATAGCCTTTGGATAACAACGGAACCACAAAAGCAGAGAAACTTATTTAAAACTTTAGATGAACAAAAACTCATGTACAGACAATAAACCCTGGGGAGAAACACTGGCATTGGGAACAATTAGAGTCTTGCCTGTAGGTCTGTGCAATGTTCATGTCTCTCAAGACCAGAATATTGGTACCAATTGTTGAAGGGGTTTGCAGTGGGAAAGTTGCTGAAGATGGTGATGCCTTCTCAGTTACACAGCGGTATCATAGCTATAAGTAGTGAGGTTTGTGCTGGGTTACACTGGGAGACATATTTTCGTAAAATCACCTGCTTTCTTTCCAAATCATGAGTTACTGAGACCATAATGTACTGCGTCTTGTTCAAAATTGTTAATTTGTTGCAGCATGCTTTTAAGTAACTCACTTAACATATTTTAGCCATGATTAAAAGTCTTGGTAAGCCGTGATCCAAGCTGGATGACACGTTTTGTTCATAATAAAAGTGGGCTTCTCCAGATGCTAGGCCTAATTCGGCTATGGAATTAAAATTGGACCAAACATGCACAAGGTTCTTTCATGAACTTTGATGCCCCCAAAGCAGTTTCACACATAGTTTGCTGGAAGCCAAATATAAAACTGCCAAAGCTTGTTAAGATAGACCTAGCGGGATTCACTAAAAAATGGACCTCCCAGTTGCCAGTCTTAGGAAGTCCTAGTAATCTGATACTTTTGTTTTGCAATTGGGTTGGGCCCCTGATTCAAGCTCGGTGAAATATAACAACATTTTAGGTCTTAGATCCTTTTCAACACTGAAGTGTTAAATTAACTAATGTTCCAGACAATCTGTGCTTTCTAGATATTAGCTTTCCACAGGGCTGCATTCATGGTCCTTGTAATCATAAAATATTTATGAAAACTGTACCATTATCACATATTAAAATTGTGTTGCCCTGATCATACTTAATCAGCAACCCCGTACAATCATACAGCATGGAACCAGACCCTTTGGTCCAACCAGTCCAGGCTCACCATGATCGCAAACTAAACTAGTCCCACCTGCCTGTGCTTGGCCCATATCCTCCAAACCTTTCCCATTCATGAACTTATCCAAATGTCTTTTAAACGTTGTAACTGTACCTGCATCCACCATTTTCTCTGGCAGTTCATTCCACACACTGTGTTAAAAAAAAGTGGCCCCTCATGTCCTTTTCAAATCTTTTCCTCTAAGATATTAAAAGATACCTAAGGTATTAGGATCTCTGTGTTTCGCATTGAAGTCTGAGACTGATCTTGATCTCCTAATGCAATCTATGTTCCTGTTTGGACAATGTCCCAGCATGTTTCTACCTTGGTCTAATTTGTATTCTTTTTACAAAATTACAATACGATTAGAATCCCTACAGTGTGGAAATAGGCCCTTTGGCCAAACAAGTCCCTCAGAGCATCCCACCCAGATCCATCCCCTATAACTCACATAATCTACGCATCTCTGAATACTATGGGCAATTTAGCATGGCCAATCAACCTTGCCTGCACAACTTTGGACTGTGGGAGGAAGCCAGAGCACCCAGCAGAAATCCACGCAGACACAGGGAGAATGTGCAAACTCCACACAGTCACCTGAAGATGGGATCGAACCCAGATCCCTGACACTTTGAGGCAGCAATGCTAACCACTATTCCATCATGTTGTGAATAAGAAGTGAATGAAAATAAGTGAATAAGATGATTTTTGATTCCAGCATCTTCTCACATGCAATAACAGTCTCCCATATGGTGATGCTATATTTTTCTATGACACTGTTCTGAGTAACAAGCTTATTTACCACTTTATAGAAGTGGAACATCATTTCAGTTACCGCAATTTCAAATTATGGCATTGTTTTTATCTGGTGTACCAAACTTAAAAGCATAGTCATTAGTAATCATTGGAGTTCTCTTTGATCGTAGACTATTAGAAACCATTCTACTAATGCCCCCAATGCCACTCACCACCCCACCGCCATACCACCCCCTCCAGCAACATCAATATGAAAACAGCAGTGATCAGAATTTGAGTTAAATGTTTGTATAATAAGGTCACAATCACAATATCACAATCATTTCAAGGCTAAAAGTAATGTAATGTTAGTTAACATACAATTTTCGGGCAAGTCAAGTATTCATAGAAGAATGATGTTAAAAAAGCTGTAATATGATTAGGAATAATCAAAAATAGCCTGTTTACCAGCACAAAGTAAATGCTTCCATTCTCAGTTTCTGTTGCAGAATTCTGTGCATCAGTAGCATAGTACTGCAGGTTTAGGCAAAACAAATAATGAACATATAGCCCATATATTTAATTAAATTGTTTGAATAATATCAAAAACAGATCTTTGTTATTTCCCAGTAATGGTATTGACAGAGTGCACTAATTTAGCTGCTAAAATCTAATGCAGCATATATAGCTGTGTACATACCTTGACAATGAATTCACGGCCCGGTCCCGGGTAAGAAAATAGTGGTTTATTATCATTAATGTCAGTGACTGTGATATAAACAGTGGTGGAGGCATTTTGTCGAGGCACACCATGATCAGTAACTAGTACAGACAACTGGTGGTGAATATGATGTTCCCGATCTAACGCTACCCAGTTAACAATCTCGCCTGGAAAATAAGTTTGGATGAGAAATGTAATTAATGTATATTTCCACATCAGTATCATACTTAGCAGCATGCATAACAATCCAAGACCAAATTCAAGACCAAATTTGCAAATTTTGTTTTAGATTCTAGCTTTCATCCCTTTTCTCTTGAACCAGTGACTATTGCTAGTGTACAGACATGAGCATCAACCTGCTGCCTACTCCAAGCCATATGTGAGCCTGCTTAGTTTTGTCATATTTAATTGTTGGAGGTACTTTAATTAAGGAAGAGCATCCTTAACCAAACAGAATTTCATTCCAGCAGGATTATAATTAGGAACAGAAACTGATTTTTATCCATTTCAGTCTGAGAAAATGGAAACAAAACATAGTAACCTTGCTGGTACATTCTCTGAAGTCAACTAACTTGCCACTAATCCACAATCTCCCTGTGTTAATTACTTTATACAACATTGAAATACTGAATGATTTCCCATTTATGCACTTATTATTAACATATTTCCTGAGTGGTTTTGCCTGGATAAACCTGTGTAACTTGGGGAAGCAAATGAACAAATATCATTCTTTCCAGACTCTATCCCTAATGACATTTATTTCTGGTCATTCTACAGGTGACATTCATCGAGCAGGAGACAAATTATGTAAAAATTGACACTGGCTGTGTAATATGTTTGCCCAAATATATATAGGTGTAATGACATATTCAGAAAGAGTTGTACCTGGTAAGATTCTACTTCCACATTGTAAATGAATGAATTGGAAAAGGTCACATATTTAGAAACCGGCCCCATTTTGTTTATATCTTTGGCTGGGACCACAGGTTAAATTACACTGAAGCAAGCCTACACAGTTAACTCTCTACCTCAAGCCTACGTTGATACACTATTGATATCATAAAGGCTCTTACAACGTCTATCATGTTCATCAGGTGACATCAGGAACATTAGATAAACCATTCAGAGATGTATTGTCTGCTTACAGCAAACAAGCTTAACAACTTTGTTTTGAAAAACTAGTAGCAGCTTAACTTCACTGATTGAAGGATTTCTCCAAAGCACAAGGAATCAAAAGGTTCCACTTATGTGGCAGTGCATGGTTCCTTGATCAATTGCATATGTTATACTAAGTGAAAAGATTCCTTTCCCCTAGTTAGTGACCAGCAGCACTAAATCATATAATAAACACTTGTTTTTCTGTTAGCTGTCATAATGTTTTCATTTTAAGCAGGCAGCAAAGATGGATGGATTCCAGGAGATCAAGGCTATCTTCCTGTGCAGTCTTCCAGGATATTTGCTGGGTACTACTTTACTATTTTGGTCTATTCTACCACCAGAGGCATCATACAGTATGCTACTCATATTTTGAAGGCAGGCATCCTGGGCTAAGATCAGTTCAGGGATAATATAGAATCATAGAACAGAATAAAGCTGCCTGACCTGTCATGCCCATACTTCCTCTTTGAAAGGGCAGGTGTGTTTTTTTTATCCATAACACTGTAAGCTCTTCAACTCAAGTGCCTGCTGTACTCTCCTAAAATTAATTCAAAAGTAAACTGCCAACGCTTTTTTAGGTAAGGTGCTCTAAGCTCACGTCCAGCAGATGTGAATGACCAAAGAGAAAAAGGTATGAAAACTTGCAACAAGGAATTAAATATGCATTATAACACAAAGTGACAACAATACTGAAGCATGAGACATCAGAAAATTATAGCACTTCACATGATCTGTGGTTATATCAAAATGTTCTAGGCCACTTCAAATGGGTGAAATTATAAAAGTACTGTGACGTGAGAGCAGTTAGGCTTATTTTTGGTTGCTAAATCTAAAAGCCGCTTTTACCTGGCTAGGATGCTGACTTTCTGTACATATTATAATAAAGGAACAGAATACAAACCTTGCCTAAGTATCAATGATACCAGACAAAGTGGACTGGAGACAGAAGGGGGACGGATTGGTGGCGATGAACAGAATGATAAGGAGAAAGGGGAGAATGAACAGACTGGGAAGACAAGACAGTGGTAAAGAAGGTTCCAATTACAAGAAGCAAAATTGAGCTGGGCAAGGGAAGGACTCTGAAAAGGCAGACATCACACTGGAGTGGGCAAGAAGAGGATCATGTGACAAGCAGTCAGTGACACCTAGAGAAGCAGGTGAGAAAATGACTCCCAGTCAGTCAGCAGCTGTAGAAGAGTAGGCAAGAGGAAACAGAGAGACAGTCAGGCAGCTCCACAAAGCAAGTGAGAGAGGGAAAACAAGACAGATAGTCGGCAACATTTAGATACACAGTCATGGCTAGAACGGTTTATCTGCTCAAGGACTGATTTCCCGTTTATGTCCCAAGAATTCTCAGTCAGATCCACCAACATCAAGCTGATGTTCTTTTCTAACCACTGTCTCCTGCTCGACGAATGTCACCTGTAGAATGACCAACGAGCTGGCAAGGGAACGTGAAACTGTTGACGCCATAACACATTAAGGAACTCAAAAAGGATTACTTAGGTTGGAGAGCCATCTTTGAGTCTCCAGTGACTGGTGGGAAGCAGTCAATGGGAATAACATGAGGTTCTTCATCCTCAAAGATGTACAGATGGTGACAGAGAAATGGGTAAAATTGTCCGAACTCCAGAAAACCATGCAGAACATAATCCCACTCAGACAACAGAGATCGATGTCAAGGGGGATATTCAGCAAGTGAAGGACCAGTAAGCCTCACTCTTTGCCTTGGAGGCCTCCAAGATAATCTTCTGGCCCATGGTCTGCTCCATGGGCAGAATCAAACATGCTCGCATTTCTTCTTCCAGAAGGTGCACAAGGAAAATTTACCAGGACTGGAGTGTTTAAGTTATAAGGAAAGTCTGGATGGGATGGGACTTTTCTCCCTGGAGCATCAAAGGCTGAGAGTGATCTTATAGAGGTTTACAAAATCATGAAGGATGTATGTGAGGTGAATAGTAAGGGTCTTTTTCCAAGGGTAGGGTAGTCCAAAGCTAGGGTAGTCCAAAGCTCGGGTGCATATGTTTAAGGTGAAAGATTTAAATTGGACCTCAGAGGCAACTTTTTTCCACAGAGGGTGATGTGTGTACAGAATGAGCTGCCAGAGGAAGTGGTAGAGGGGTACAATTACAACATTTAAAAAGTATTTGGACAGACACATGAATAGGAATGGTTTAGAGGGATATGGGCCAAGTGCAGGCAAATGGGACTAGTTCAGTTTGGGATATCTGGTCAACGTGGATGAGTTTCTGCGCTATATAACTATGAGACTTCTGTGATCAGCAGTCTGAAGGAAGAAGATGGCGCTTGTCCTACTCAAACAGGACAATGGATTGCACCAAGAGATCAAGATCACAGTCTTAAGACAGAATCCCTGAATATAAACCTGTAGAGTGATCTTCTAGTAGAGACAACTGTGTGTACCTTTGATATTTTCTTTGTAGACCTCTAACATCATCTTAGTCTGACATTTTGAGGATCAGCAAATCCTTTTATAACAGACTGTATGACATGAAACTCACAGATAGCCCAGCCGCCTCTGTCTTCTATCAAGGAGGTCTTAGACAACGGCACCCAGGAGATGTTGGAGCAGCCTTTATCTCTGAATGTGCTGACCAAGGCCCTCTAGTCCTTTGAGAAGAATAAACTCCTGAAAGTGATGGCTTACTGCTGTGCTGTATTCAGCTCTGTGAGACTTGATTGACCAAGACCTGCTAGAGATGTACGACAGTATGCTTCTGGCAGAGAACACATGCAAATCCATGAGGAATGATATCGTCACCGACATCTACAAGCAGGGGAGAGTGAGGAAATTAAAAATTGGCGACCTTTTTCACTGATGAATGTAGATTACAAAATCCTGTCTGAGGTCATTGTCAACTGGGTAGGGTCTGCTCTGGGATCAGTAATTCACCCCAGCCAAACCTACACTGTACCAGGCAGGAAGATCTGAGCTCCTCAGGGATACGATTGCCTATGTGCAGGTCAGGGAGGGATAGACACCTGCTTCATCAGCCTAGGCCAGGAGAAGGCTTTTGACAGGAGACTGCACACCTACATGAGGGTCACAGTGTCCAAACAGGGCTTTGGGGAGAGAGTCTGCAATGGATTCTGACTGCTCTACACCACATCAGAACTGCACTCTCAAACAACAGGTGGAATTAGAAAATTTCCTGATCGGATCTGAAGCCAAGCAGGGCTGCCCAATCCCTCCTGCTTTGTTTGTGTGTTATACAGAATCTTTTGCTGAGTCCATAAGGAAGGATGTGAGCTTGAGAACAGTGACAATTCCAGTGGAGGCCTGCAGGTCAAAGCTCCCGCTGTACTTGGGTGACGTCGTCATTTTCTGCTCGGATCTGCTGTCAGTGTGTAGACTCTTGAGTATTTGCGACCAGTTTGAACTGGCCTTGACAGGCAAGGTAAATCGAGGCAAGAGCAAGACCATATTATTTAGGAACTGGGCTGACTGATAATTTATCCCCTAACCCATCAGGTCAGATTATCTGTAGGTGCAGGGAATATGGTTTAGAGTGATGTGTATCAAAAGTTGGGAGGAGTATGTTGCCAAGGTGAGGCAGAAACTGGCCAGATGGGAGCATCACTCCTTCTCCATTGTGGGTTAAAATCCTAGTCATCAGATGTGAGGAGCACTGAGCATTGTCATATGTGGTGCAGATCTGGCCCATTCTGAGCCTGTGCCATCACCCACTTCATCTGGAGGTCAAAGATGGACTGTGTCTGCAAGGAAATTGTGTACAATGTTCTGGATAAGAGGTGGAAGAATGTATCTAACACTGTTCTCATTCTCATGGCCATCTTTGTGTGTAGCTGCATCAAGCTGTGCGTAGATCCTCAGTACACAAACACCTAAGGTCGCTATGTACTGAGGTTCTACCTGTCCCCAGTTTTACGAAGGAAGGGTCTGGCCTTGTTGCCACAGAATGCTTCAAATAGTTGCACCATTCCATAATACCAGACACTCGTGGAAAAATGTGCAAAGGAAAACATC